GGCTGCTGCCCTGTGCGCTCCGGTAGCGTTTGCTGTGTGGCAGCCAGTTTCTTTTCAAGGATTTGGGTGGCGTCGCTCTACGGCACTGAGTCTTTCCGTGCAGTGGTAGTGTTGGTTGTATGGAAGGAGCTGGCAGTGCCCACCAGATCAGAAAAATCTGGCCTGGGGGGAAAAATAGGATTCTACCAATATAGAAGAAATTCTTTTTTGTTATAGGCATGCTCAGGATGAATGGCGATCCCCTGAGTTTCTTTTCAAGGATTTGGGTGGCGTCGCTCTACGGCACTGAGTCTTTCCGTGCAGTGGTAGTGTTGGTTGTATGGAAGGAGCTGGCAGTGCCCACCAGATCAGAAAAATCTGGCCTGGGGGGAAAAATAGGATTCTACCAATATAGAAGAAATTCTTTTTTGTTATAGGCATGCTCAGGATGAATGGCGATCCCCTGGTGTCGTGCGTGTTACCTGCCATGGATGCGCACATGCGTGCGTCCGACTATGCAGATAGCAGTGAGGCCCTATATCATTACTGGCTGTAGGCCAATATGTGTCCTTGAGCCAGTACCGGGCACGCTGGCCTCAGCTTCCAGGCTGACCTGAGATTGAGTGGACAGCTGGCAGTCTGTGGAGCTGGTGTTTCTGAGGTCCTGCATGTAAAGACGAGCGCTTATTAGTGTAATAGCGCTAGCAAAATATCACAAAGGTAAAACGAAGTTGGACGACGACCTACATTCGTAATTGTTTTTGACACAGAGACGTCCTGCTTGGAAGCTGGTTTATTTATCAGGTAGGTTCACTTGAGGCAATGCTCAAGCCCTCTGAAAATGTCTTCTGGTGACCAGCCCTTATGCTGAAGGGCATGGATGATAAGTAGAGAGTGTGCAGAGATACCATCCCTATATCATTAGCCTTTGGTCAGTGGACACAAAAAGGAAGGAGCAGGTCGAACTTCACTTACAAACTGTTTCTAATTCTGGCAATGAGAGACAATAAGTCATAATTCACTTGCTTGTTCAGCAGATCTGTCAGCACCTACCCTAAGATGGTTTTTTTGAAACCTATTTGGCCATTTGATTCAATATGATATGTGTACTTTGGCTTTGCACAACGAAGCCCGAGAGACTTCAACAACATCTGAGGAGGCTGTTCAGCCCTTGAGTGCTATCATTCTCTGAGAATGCTGAGGATGATTTGTGGTGTAGGTCTTCCTGCCAGGAGTTGTTTTGAAACTTCAGTTACTGCATAGGAAAATGACACTGTATCATTTGCAGCCTAGGCTGCAAGATGAAGCATCCTAGGCTGTAGGTGGGAGAACAGCATTTATCTCATGGTATCGTTGTGCACAAGTCTGGAACCCATCAGAATTCCAGTCCTACAAGGAAAATGCTGTAACTGCTAAGAAAACTGTACCTAGTATGTGATATGTTCAGAAATGATTTGTGTTTCAGTGGGTGAATTAAGCTCTAAGTAAGTTTCTCTTACTCAACTGCAGTTATTCTGACCTTTTTTCCTTCCAGACAACTGTCCCTAATGATGATGCCATCGTCTTCAGCAACTCCTGCCAGCGATGTTGCGCTTTTTGCAAGCGTGGCTTCTCAGGAAATCTGGAGGCCGCAAGTTCCAGGCTGTTCTGGATTGGTCACGCGACACATCAGTCATCGGGCCAACAACTTCAAGAGACATCCAAAAAGGAGAAAACACATCCACCCTTCCCCTCCGCCACCACCAAATACTCCATGTCCTATTGACCTGATTGACTTTGGGGATCTCCAGCCTCGGAGGTCTTTCCTTGAACTCCTGTTTAATGGGTGCATTCTCTTTGGACTGGAGTTCAGCTATGCCATGGAAACAGCTTATGTTACTCCTTTGCTGCTTCAGATGGGGCTTCCAGACCAGTTGTATGGGATGGTGTGGTTCATCAGCCCTATACTTGGTAACTTTTCTTTATGCTATTTCTTCTCCTCCCGTGTACTTTGCATTGCACAGGGAACATATGGTTTTGTCTTCTGTACCTCTGCAATTCACAAATACACCCTTTTTAAAACCCCTGTGAAACAGGCCTATAGAAAAACTGCCACTTTTGGTGAGCCCCTTTTCTTTTAGGGTTCTTGCTGCAACCTTTGCTGGGGGCCTGGAGTGACAGATGCACCTCAAGATTCGGGAGGAGAAGACCTTTCATTCTGGTTTTAGCAATAGGTGAGTCTTGAGAAATGGTGGGCATAACACTTGTAAAGTAGAAATATGGCACATCTCTTTAATGGCATCCTTTATGGTACTAGGTGGAACAAAAGGCCTCTGATATTGTTGGGAGGCAATGTTGGGTATTATGGGTGTGAAGAAAGTGATGAGTGATACTGAGATGATGCTTTAGCAACTGGAGATCCATGCGTAAATGGTTCTGTCTTGTCAGAGTCTGAAGAGCTAACATATTCAGACATCGGAAGGTTTTTCTTTGGCCAAACTAGATTCCAGGCATTTGTGAGATCAAGCAGTGGCAGAGGATATCTGTATCCTATGAGCCACACGGGTTCCCAGGTCATGATAATAGGACTAAGAGCAGTAATACTTACCCCAGTGCTTTCAGAGACCGTGTAGTGATACAGTTCTTCTTTAGGAGTGATTGTTTTATTCTGTTTTTATTTTTAGGAGCATTGCTGGGGCTCTCACTTATGCTGAATGGCAGAGATATTGGCAGTGCTTTGTCTGACTCTGAGAATAACCACAAATGGGGAATCGTTCTTACGGTCTGTGGCGTCATCCTCATGGACTTCAGCGCGGATTCAGCAGACAATCCCAGTCACGCCTACATGATGGATGTTTGCAGTCCAGGAGATCAAGACAGGGGCCTCAATATCCACGCTTTGCTAGCAGGTACGCTTGCTTGGTGCTTCCTTGCTGGCATGAACTTCAAGTGATTAAGTCTTGCCCTGAGTTTGAATTGTGGATCTTTCCCACTATAAGTATAACAGAATGCACGGTTAGAAATAGTTACCTTTGAAAGCTTTTACATACTGCAAAAGGCTTTTCTGTCTGCCAAAAGCCGGGCAAGGCACAGTCCTGGGTTGCCCATTCTAAAAGTGGCCCTCCTGTCTTTTACAATGCCTTGGGAAATCAAATTATCCCTTGAGGGAGGAGGTTCAGCTTGTTACAAGTGTGGGAAATAGGCTGCCTTTAGTCACTTTGTTGAAGTGGGTAGAGCATGCAAGGTGCTCTGCTCTCTTGTTCCTGGCATTATATGTCCTATATGTACTGTTATTGACATTACATTATGTGTAATGCTGCAACCTAGTTTTTCTCTCCATTAGGTGACTTTTTATGCTCTTTAATGTGTGCTTAGAGAAGAAAAGGACAGTGTTATAAGGCTTTTTCCATGTGAAGAGTGGAGTCCGATGCCCTCAGAACTTCTTGTTTATCTACACAGTGGCACAGTGGCAGTTCTATATAGTGCTGATGTGTTGCTGAATGTTTGATACGCTTCTGAAATGATTAAGTCTATCCTCCTAGTGAGTGAGGAAATTGGATTTTAACATACCTTTCAGAGAAGCAATTTTAGCTGGCGGATTGCAAAATCTTGCTATGTGGCTGGACTTAAATTGCCAAAGGGAAAGTGATCAGTCCTTGGCAAAGAAAGAACAGCAGCATTTTTAATTCTTCGTATCATTGTTTTTACAGTGCTGACCTTCTCTCTCTCTTTCATGCATTTAGACTTTCCATGTGGTACAAATTAATATCTTACTGCATTTGAGTTAAGGGATTAAGTGGTAAAATAAAACTAATACTTTGGAGTCTGCACATGGCTTATCAAATAGTGCTGTGCTGTTACTGATTTGAAGGATTGGCTAGGGAAGATAATCTCAGCTCTGTTTTTCCACCAGGTCTTGGAGGTGGCTTTGGTTATGTTGTTGGAGGAATACATTGGGATAAAACCAGTTTTGGAAAAGCTGTGGGAGGGCATCTTCGTGTCATCTATGTCTTCACCTCAATTACACTGACGATTACTACTGTGTTGACGCTAATTAGCATTCCAGAAAGACCCCTGAGGTCCTTTAGCAAGAAGAAAAAGGTGATGAAGAGTCCAAGTCTTCCTCTCCCTCCGTCCCCACCTCTCTTCTTTGAGGAAGGTGTAAATGAAAACCTTGCTTCTCATAACTCAGCTCACTTATATGCAAGTTTTGCAAGTCCAGTTTCTCCCCTCAGCCCACTCACGCCCAAATATGGCAGCTTTGTCAGCAGAGACAATTCCTTGACAGGAATTAATGAGTTTGCATCATCATTTGGGACTTCAAATATTGACAGTGTGCTTATAGACTGTTTTACTGGTGGGCACAATAGTTATTTAGCACTTCCGTCTAGCATGCCCAGGCAGCCTGTCAGTGTCAGCTTTCCCCGGTTGCCAGATAGCTGTTACCACCAAGAAAACGGAATTTTGGAGCAAGGGGAGAGCAGCATAACTCCAGGGGCTGATGGCGAGGCACTAAGGGTGGGCTCACTGGATGCAATAAAGCCACGGTCATCAGGGATCCTGAAAAGACCTCAGACCTTGGCTATTCCGGACATTGTAACAGGACATTGTCCAGAAAGTAGCAGAAGAAGAAATGTAACTTTCAGCCAACAGGTAAGGGCAGAAAAACAATGTAAACCATATAAACTCATGACCACGCAAACCTGAGCGTTCGTTTAATCTCTCTATATAATTTTAAATATATGACACGCAAAAAGGCTCCTCATGGCAGCCTGGCTACAAAGGTTACTACAGGAGCAGAACACCTGCTATGACTACCGATAAAAGGATGGGCAGGACATGAATTGTGACTGGCAATCTGTGAACTGTCTCGTTAAGATGGCAGATAGGCAAGTGTTTCACCTCTTCCAGTCCTTGTGTGGAAGTCAAATTGGTATTTTTAGCCCTGCTTTGCCACCCAGGAAGTTACCAAGGGAGAGCAGAAAAAAAAAAAAAAAACCTAGAAGACATATTTCTTATTGAGCCTGTATCTTCCCTTTCCATAGAAATACCTGCAAGATAGGGCCAGAGATAGGATTCTCTCATGAGCTTCTGCTTATGGCAGTCATTACACCTGGTTCCATCAGGCAGGTGAGGTTTCCCTTACTTGGGGGAAAGACTGTGGCCTCACCTCGCACTGTTGGTGATAACTTGGAATCTCTGAGACCCCTGTATGCTGGCCTATTTTTTATGATCCAGGATGAGGTAAAGCTTTTTTTTTAATTATTATTTATCTGCTTTTGTTTGGATCAGGTTTTGCATACACGTGCATGTAGGAATCAAGTATCAAGGACAGCAAGTCGTCAAAATAAATGTTAGCACTTGCCTCTTTTTCTTCACTGACTCTATAACTTCGGGGGCAAATTCACCTGATTGGGGATACAGCTCCCATTAAATTCGATGACAGTTATGCTCCTGTTTGAACTGGGTTGCCAAATAGTCCAGAAAATCGAAGAGTACTGTTTCAATTGCACTGAAAGTTATATCAACAGTACTGACATTTGCACTCACCCTAAGGTTAAAACTTGCAGCTGTACTGACCTCAAAATGCTGTTCTTAATATGTAAATCAACATACCGCAATAGCTGCTTAACTTTGAAATGCTCAGATAGCTGTGTAATATTGCAGAGTTTTGCTCAAAGGCTGTTTGGATTTTGCATAAGATGTGTGTTGACCTGGGAATTTTTATGGTGCAGGTAGCTAATATCTTGCTGAATGGTGTTAAGTACGAGAGTGAGCTGAATGGATCAGGTGACACCTCCGAGCAACCACTCTCCCTGAAACTTCTGCTTTCAACCATCTGCCACATGCCCAAGGCTCTGCGTAACCTTTGCATCAACCACTTCCTAGGTAATTGGAAAGTACTGTCTTGATTTTACCGTGAGGTAATTTACTGTGGCTACATTTAAAAAAAAAAAAAAAAAAAAACCCTATCATTGCAGTGACCACTGATTCATTCTATTACACTGACCGGTAAGAGAAGCTCTGATATTTAGGTTTTCAGAACACTAAGAAATAAAAAATAGTGAGGCCAAGATTCCTAGAAGGGAAATAACATTGGTTTAAATCAGCACAGCTATCGAGTTGAATGTTTGTGCTGGAACATAAGACAAACTTCACTAAGAACACAATTAAAATGGTAGAAACTTGCTTCATAGCTCTGAAATTGGTGCTGGTAATGAGCAGGGCGGTAAAAACTAATTATATTTTCCTGCGTGCCTCTGAGACCAGCATTCATTTTTCCTTCCCCACCACCTTAGGAGCATGCATTTACGCAACATTTGGCAGGCTGTGAGGGGACACAGACTGCAGCACTGCAGGACTGCCTGTGTTCCTATGTTACCTTCATTCCTCCTGACGCATGACTGGAGGTTAGGAAGAGCCTGTAAGCAGCTCACTTTACACAAAGTTGGACAGGAGACAACAGGTAGTTAATACTCACAGGCTGAGAAAGGAATTAAAAGATTGCCTGCACTGCTCTCCCAGGCTTGTGATTGAGAATAGGGTTTTTTACTGTCAGAAGTCCTGCAGAGGCTGCAGCCACAACATAGGAAGCACTCCTTCCTTGTGGGAGGACAACAGCACTCTTAAACTAGTACATGTTACGTTACTCTGTGCAAAACTGGGCATGGTAACCTGCCAAAAGCTGAAGGTAGTTCAGACTGCTGTAATCTGGTTTTGTGTCTTGCTGAAACCAATATTCTGTGACATGTAGTTTGCCTGTAGGACTCTGTGTGAGGGAAATCTTTATGTTTAACATCGTGAATGACTTTGACAAACATTACAGCAAAATACACAGCCAGCGGCAGTCTCAGAAAAGTGGTGCTAAGCATTATGCAATACTAACATTGCACAATCTGCCTGCCTTCAATTGTGACTTGAAAGGTAGATAATAGCATTCATGGCTTACAGGGGGAAGGAGGTGCTTGGCAATCCTAGTAGGTTACTTCTGGCTTCTTTCAGGTTGGCTTTCATTTGAGGGGATGTTGCTGTTCTACACTGACTTCATGGGAGAAGTAGTGTTTCAAGGGAATCCGAAAGCTCCTCACAACACAGATGAGTATCAGAAATACAACGCTGGGGTCACCATGGGCTGCTGGGGAATGTGCATCTACGCATTCAGTGCTGCCTTCTATTCAGGTACTAAGTAAAGCCACCCTATATGCTGCTGACAGCGTGATACACCTGCTCCTAAAGTGGTGCGTCTTCCAACAAGTACTCTTGCATTTGTGTATTGTGAGTGCTCAATGAGTATGGTGGTTGTTCACAGTATTATCTCTTCTACTTAGCATGGCCTCAGCGGAGGTGGCAAGCAGACCAGTGAAAACGCATTTCTGTTACTGGAGAGTTCTTTTCACAAGCGGCAGATTCAAAGTCCATTAATCTAGACGTGCACTCAGCCAAGCAGCATGGGGTCAGCGCAGCGCCTTAATGCTGTACCCACCCCATGCCGCAGCTCCTCCCTGCTCCCCACAGGATAGGGATGCAGCGGGGAGTGCAGCTTTCCTGTGCTCTCTCCATACAACCCGGCTGCGCAGAGGGGGCCACTTGGAAGGGTGCTAGACACATGCCCGCAGACCACCAGGAACCCGAGGCGCTAGCGGTCACCATGGCACTGTCGCTGCTCGGAGTCTGGGCAGCAGGGCCCCAGGGAGCAGCTTTGCACCCTTGGAGCCTTGCCAGCTTGCTGGTGGCTGGGGATGGCCACATTCGGTGCTGCCCTGTGATGCCCTGCGGGTCAGCACGAGGACACTATACTTCGTGGCGTACCTTGCCTTCGGGCTGGGGACCGGGCTGGCCACTCTCTCCAGAAATGTGTATGTGGTGCTGTCACTGTGTGCCACCTATGGTGTTCTGTTTGCTACGCTTTGCACTCTGCCCTACTCCCTGCTGTGTGACTACTACCAGAGCCGCAAGGTGAGTGTGGGAAGGTGGGGCTGGGGGTGGTTTTGCCAGCAGCCCCTCTCACGTGGTGTCCCCCATAGTTCGCCGGCTCACAGGCAGAGGGCACGCGGCGTGGGATGGGCGTGGACATCTCCCTGCTGAGCTGCCAGTACTTCTTGGCTCAGATCCTAGTGGCTGTCATTATGGGGCCTCTGACTGCAGCAGTGGGGAGCGCCAGTGGTGTCATGTACTTTGCCTGCCTCATGTCTTTCTTGGGCTGTCTCTTTTCCTCCCTCTGCGTCATCTATGAGCTGCCGCCTGGTGAGGAGCTGCTCGAGGAGCAGCAGCCGCTTGTGCCCAGTACTTGACACCTTGCCACATGGGAAATCAATAAAAGCAATAGGGCTGTCACTGTCTCTACTGTGTTGTTGTGTGGCAGGCCATCTTGCTGCTTGTTGGGGTGGAAGGGAGGACGTGTGACACTCTGGGCTCATGCATCTTCACGGCCTGCGGAGGAGTGGGCTCGTCCATCTCAGAGGCAAGGGTGATGCGGGCCAAATACGTGGCTGTAGGGGATTGTGCTGATGGTGGACGTGGGGAACCACGGGAAGAACTGCCCTGCCTGCAGCAAGGAGAGTGCGAATGAGTGGCTGCAGTTGGCCCGTGCTGCACGTTCTTCCTGCGAGATGGCAGGAGCCTTTCAATAGCCCCAGGGCCCACGGTCTCCGCAGCAGGGAAGCAGCATGTTTGGCTCACCCTGGAGTGTGGTGGCATCAGACACTGGGTCTGGCCCTTCTCAGGTAGGGAGCAGACTGGGAGTGGTTTGCTTGATCTGAGGTGGCCAGGAAATACTGCCTGTTGCGCTGGCCAAGCAAGGTGCTTGAAAGTCGGTGTGTGTGCTGGGCGTGTGCAGTGCCCTTTGGGACAGCAGTAAGTTGGGGAGGGGCCTGATAGCAATACATTTTTCAGACAAAGGACAGCAAGTTTTTTTCAGCAGTCTGTGGAACAGCCAACAGAGGAAGTGACAGCCTCAGGGCAGAAATGAAGAATTTGGTTAGGGTGAGTTATAGCATTTGCCAGCCTTTCAGGAACTGCTTTAATAATGGGGGATTTAATGTTACTGGTTAAAGACAACTGAAACTTCAAGAGGACTGCAATAAGCAGTTTTCCAACAAAATTCTAATTGTTCAGTTACCAAAAAACCCAGATTATTAACTGTCCAGTGCAGTTTGAGGGCAATAACCTTTGTATCCATGTTCCAAGCATGGCCACTCTAGCTGCTTTTAACAAATGCTTCAAGTTTGTGATGAGGCATAAAGGCTAGAAGGTTCTAGTTTCAGAAGATCTCACTTTGAAAGCAATGATGAGAAATGTGCAGAATGCTCCATGGTGTGGTAAACTGCAGTGCTGAGGCAGGTACAAAAGCACAGGAGTGGCTTAATCTGCTTGGCAGCAGAATGGTTCCTTTCACAAAACCTTTATATATATATATATATGAGAGAGAATCTTTGAAGCAAGGGAATCCTGAGTAAGTCTAGAGAAGAGCTTCTGGGAATCCCTACTAAACTATGGATGATTAAGTTACATAAAATATTACTCTGAAAATGTCTAGTATATGGAGGATGGAGGAGTTACATAAACCAATACTACCTTTCATGGCGTCATCCTCTTCGTGTAATACTTTTTCCATCATCTGCTGTAATGTTCTCTTTTTAATCAGCAATAATCCACCTATCCTCAGTATTGTGATTTTGTTAAAAGACTTTCCTTAAGAGCAGTTTAATCTGTTCCTTCCTGCTTTGATGAGTATAGCACAAGCCTTACTGGAAAACAAAGCTGAAACTATTCATTACTTGATTTTGTAGAACATGGTTAAGAGTTATACAGAAAGAAACCCCCCAAAAGTAAGAGGTACATCTGAGATGAGAGGAACATCGCTGAGTTTCCTACTTCTCAGGAACAAGAAAAGGATAAATACGTGACAAAGTAATAAGGCTGATATTTTACTTCAGGCAAATCACACTTTTACGTGAACCAAAAAAATCGCCACAACTTCTCTGGATAAGTGAAACAGAAGAGTAGCAATAGGCCCCTTGAATGTGCCAGCGTGAGGGCTCATTCGGGCCACTGGACTGTCCTAGTTTAGACAGAGTACCCAGTCTTTGTCTAACACTTGAAAAACACTTGGAAAAGCAGCAGTGAGCTGTAAGCAGTAAGCAAAGGTAAAGAGGCAGCAGTCATATGCCAAGATTGCAGAAAGTGACACACTTCAGCCAGTACTGTGCCTGTTAGCAAAAGGCACCTTGTGCTATCTGGCGTGGCTTCGTACCCACGTTGTAACAGGGCAGGCGCTCAGGCTTCATCGTTTCTGCACACGAGTGGGGCAGCAGGAGTAACGTTTCACAGCGCAGACCCAGCAGAGTCAGCTTGTACAGGGGATGCATCAGTCGATGCAGATGTGGTGAGGGGGACGCGGGCTGGTGCTCGGGCCGCCTGCTTGGGCTCGCTGCAGCCGTCAGAGGGGGGCGCAGCAGCCTCCGGCGGCTGCCCCCGCCTCCCCC